TTTGAACCCCAGCTCTACCTTTGGTGATTTATTTAATTTCTGTGGTCACTCAGTTTCCTTATCTATGAAATGGAGTGCAGCTTGGAGGATTGGAGAGAATAATTCTATTAACTTTACAGGGCTGTTGTGAGAATTGAATAACACATATGCTTTAGTCAGCTTTTTCCCTGCTGTGACCAGAACAGCTGTAGAGGAGGAAAAGTTTATTTGGGTGTTAATGGTTTCAGAGGTCTCAGTCCATAGAAAGTCAGGACCGTTCTTGGGGCTCGAGGTGAGGCAGAACATCATTGCAGAAGAGTGGGGTGGAGGGAAGCAGCTCACATGATGACCCAAAAGTAAAGAGAGATTCTTGCCAGATACAAAATATATGTCCCAAAGACACACCCCCAATGACCCACCTCCTCCAACCACACCCTACCTGCCTTCAAGTAGTGGCAACCCAATTAATCCCACCAGGATTAAATCCCAATATTTCTCCTCTAAACCTTGCATTATCTCACACATGAGCTTTTGGGGGACACATCACATCAAAACCATAACAACATCTAAAGCATCCAGCAGGTGTCCCACACATAGTAAATGGTCAATATATATTGATGATGATGATTAAGATGATAGCAGAGAAGATGATGATTGCATCAGGGATCTCCAAGACCATCCTCAGAGTCAATAATTTAGCAGAATGACACACAGAACTGAGAAAAGCTGTTACAAGCACAGTTGTGGTTGATTACAGTGAAAGGATACAGATTAACATTAGCCAAGGAAAAAGGTACATAAGGCAAAGTCCAGCAGGAACCAGATACTAGAAGTGGAATCACACAAACAGCACTTAATTCTCCTAGCAATACTATGTGTGAAGATGTATGGAGTATTACTAACCAGGGAAGCCTTGGTTTTTATTGAGAGTCAATTATATAGGCAAAGAATTGCCTGCTGGCTGAACTTGTTTGATCACTACTTCTCCAGAGGTCAAAGTGTGTGTCCCAATGCTCTAGACAAACAGAAGACATTGCTATTAGGCAGGATATTACCAAAGTCTTAGGGTAGATAACCAACTGCAAGGATCAAGCCTTTTTTCTTTGGAGAATGGGGGAATGTGCAAGGTTTGGACAACTCAGGCCTCCAGACTTAATCCAATACTGCATCATGATGATGATGTTGATGAATCCTGGACTGAGGCAACTAGCAATGTTAGTAGACCATGACACCCATAAAACTGGGCCCAGGACTTATTTTAGAAGCTGACCTTTAACTAAAACTGGAATTGGTCTTGACATTCAAAGTGAATGTATTGCTATAATTGTAGCTATCAAGAGTCAACCAGCAGGGCTGGGGTTGTAACACTGTAACATCAGTGTTAGAGCACTTGCCTAGCATGTGTGTGAGGCACTAGGTTCAATCCTCAGCACCACATAAAAACAAATAATAAAATAAAGATTTCTTAAAAAAAAAAAAAAAAGTCAACCAGGGCAGAAAAGGAGAGTATAAGAAGATAGCACCAAGCAAAAGATGGTGGTAAAGAAGGAAAGGAGGGAGCTCACCCAAGATCAATGCAATGCAATAAGTCCCAGGGCTTCAATTTTTGGAGACCAAGAAAGAAAGGTATGTCCTCACCCAAAGGTCTAAGGCATAGGTGGGACTGAAGAAGGGAGGGGTGGCATGAGGATGAGATTGATTTAAGCCCAGAACAGAAAGGTAGCCCAAGAGTCCACATCTGGTGAAAAGAATAGGAAGTGGGTTTAGAAGATTAAAAAGTCCCTCTCCTTAGCAGAATCTACCTGATCTGAATCAACCTTAGACTAGACTGAGGAGCTTTGTCCAGTGTCTGACCCAGTCCAGGGAGAACAGACTAGTTCTGAAACAACTTAACTGTACAACACCACAGGAGCAGGTAAGAAGAGACAAAGGGAAGGGAAACCTAGCCCTTCATTTACATTTAAATTCGCAGACCACAAAGTAAGAATAGAACTTGTAAATATACCCTAAAAGGCAGGATTGAGATGAATTTACTTTGTCTTTCTTTGTTGTTTGATTTGGTTTGCTTTTTCTTGTTTTGTTTGCAGTGCTGGGATTCAATGAAAGGTCCCATGTACTCTATCACTGAATCCTATCTGCGGCCCTTTTGTTGTTGTTATTTTTTGTGAAATTATATGAGTAGGAGAAAAGCTTTTTGGAATCTCTATAACTTTCTGTCATTAGGTGGTTGATTGGTTTTGTTTTTAACATTTTCTGGGGCTGGAGATATAGCTCGGTGCTTAGCATGTGCAAAGCCCTGGGTTTAATTCCCAAAGGCAAAAAATAAATAAAATATCTTTGTGAATAAAAGTAAATGAACCCTTTAAAGAAAAACATGACAATAGAGAAAGAAAGGAATATGTGTTCTGCTTTGGGGGCAAACCTAAAGGAAAGAATTCTCAGCAGAGGAGATAGACATCAGAATCATAATGAAGAAAGACAAACAAGTCAAATTCTTGCAGCTTGTAGCCCAGGATAGTGAAGAGGGATTAGGACTTAACTAGCCAAAACACAGTGCCATGCAAATTATTTGGCTAATGATGCTGACAGCACTGTGATAACACTGCAAAAAGTCTTAGCATAAGCAACATCTCCCAGCCTAGACCTTTCCCCTCAAGTCCCTCTCCAAATAATTCATAGAATATATGATTCTCTTTGGAATTCATACCTGGAAAGCAAAGAAGATAGATTACTAATGGAAGTGTCCTCTTACTGAGCAACATTAAGTGCAGCAGGGATCATAACACCAACCCACTGTCTTAAATTTTAAGAGTTCTCATATGAAAGAAATGACACAGTCCCATTCCCCAGGAACCAGGAAAATCCTGCCTCCTCCCATCAGAATTTCTCAAAGCTTAAAGATCTGATATAATTTTCCTGGAAAAATATTGCAGTGGTATATGTATTAAGCATTTAACTTGCTTTCTTTCTTAGATCCCAAGAGATGACCCTAAGACATTTAAGCCTTGGTCTATCCCTATAGCATAACCCTGCTATTATTTCCTGAAAGGTAAGATCAATAAAATGAAAGGTAATCAATCAAAGAGGAAAAATTAGCCAGTCCAGTGGTTCTCAAACTGTGTTCCATGGAACCCTAGGATTGAAGTTAATACATTTTATTCAATACATTTGATTCAAGTTAATACATTCAAGTTAATACATTTTATTCTGTGTCTTAATCCTTAATCCTTTAATCACTCAATATGCATGACTTTTGAATATGAGAATGTTAGGTCAAAGTGCTATAGCCAACAATGAAGTTTTTCTTTTTGTTAGAAAACAAAAATGTGGTAGATTAAGACATTTTAAATATTCTACTCCCTGATTTGAGAGTCACTTGCAGCTTGAATTCAACATGCCAAATTGAAATCTATTGATTTTCTGCATTTATAATGCTAGTGCTATTTGGAAGAATCATCTGTTTATATTCATTTAATTTGACTGCTTCAGTTTTGTGCTGCTGCCTAACACAAAATTCAAAGCACTGAAGGCTGTGGAGAATGACCATAGAGACACCCTGATTTAAAAAAACACATTGTCATTGTTAGAAAATTAAACTTCTGCTTTTCAGCATACTTAATGGGCAACAACATAAAAACTTAAAGCATCTGGAAGAGAGATAACTACATCATAAATTCAGAAAAAAAATAATTTTTTCATTTAAGTGTAATTTTCCAATTAGATATCTGAAATAATCCACAAGTGTCAATAATTATTAAGTTCAATTCTGTTGTGTTTTGTCATGAGAATAACTTGCGTTACTATTTTTACTAAATCAGGCTAAATATCTGGTGAGCATTTGCTACTTCTTTACAATGACAAAAATCAAATTAGGCAACACTTAAAAATCACATCTTAAAATTTTTTTGAAAAATAGTAATTTTAAAACTCAGGGAATTTAAGGCAGAATTATCCAACCTCTTTAATTCTCTCTCTATTTTTCTTTATTCTTCTAAATCCTAAAGTTAAAGTTAATATTATGACACTTCCACTCTAATTTCTATGTAAAGCAAGGCACAAGCATGTATAGCACTATGCCTGACAAAGAGAACTCAGCAGAGGGTAGTTACACACAGGGATGCACAAATGCATGCTCACACACTCACACACACACACACACACACACACACGCATACATATTCAGGTGTGCTAAGTAGCAAACTTTAAATTTTAATAAATTAGATAATACCAGTGAATGAACTGGGTTGTCCAATTTTTGTACAAACCTTAAAATATATTAGGTCCATCCTCAAATTGCAAAATGAATTTTAGAAATAAAAATAAGACAAAAACCTCTTACCACTTTCCCATTTAGAATTTTATTATGCTGTACAATCAAAACAAAATCCAGATATGAATTGCATTCTGAGTCTGTTAACTGTCATCTTTTATCTGCAATTTCAATTTTTTTGTGTTCTCCAAGATGGCATAATTGCTCTAATATATTTGCTTTACTAGCAAGTGTTAAGCATTGACCTTATAAATTTATACCACACTAAAACTACATGTACATGTGTATGTGTCTCTCAGAACATTTTAATCCTCCACTAAAAATCTTTAAAAACTTCTGATCTCAGCCAGGTGAGGTAGCGCACACTTGTAATCCCAGCAACTCGAAAGGCTAAGGGAAGAGAAGGGCAAGTTCCAGGCTAGTCTGGGCAATTTAGCGAGACCTGTCTCAAAATGAAAAACAAAGGCCTGAGGATATAGCTCATAGGTCGTGGTAGAGTGCCCCCTACAAGACAACAACAAATTAAAGAAAAAAAAAATACAAGCAAAACCCACCTGATCTCGCCCATCTTCTTTCATGAATGAAGACTCAGATGCCGAGGGAGATTAGGAAAATACTCAACTGTACTTCTTCATAACTGTGTAGTTTACCAATCCAATTTTCAACTACTTATTGTTGTTCTTCCCAAACATAAAAATTGAAGGATCTGTACCTTTGTTTTATAACTATTCTTTTCTCTTTTTCCCCCTAGGTGTTACAGTTTTTCAAGTGAAAAGATGTCTTGTTTTGTTTGTTTGTTTGATGTTTTGTTAGTCCTAACTAGAATCCAAACTGATACTTTTATACTGTTGAGAGAGAGAAAAATAACACAAAATTTATAAACATTCTGATTAATTACTTTAACAAGACAAATCATTACTTTAAAATTATTTAATTAGACTCCTCGACTTAGAAGCCACAAGACAAGGTACAAATCGAGATGAAACTAATATTGGAGTGCTATGAAATAGCCATAGCAAGCAAATTTAATGCTAATTTGTTTCTGAAAAGATGGTGTAAATATTGCCATGAAAGCTAATTTTCCCCTTCTGCATCCATCCAATCTAACTGGACTGGTCATACCGGTTAAAATCATTGAAAGATACTTCTCAGCAGGGTGTGGTGGTGCACACCTGTAATCCCAGCTACTCAGGGTGCTGAGGTAGGAGGATTACAAGTTTAAGACCAGCCAGTGAAATTTAGCAAGACCCTGTTTCAAAATACAAAATAAAAAGGGCTGGGGATGTAGCTCAGTGGTAAAGGACCCCTGGGTCCAATCCCCAGTTTAAAAACAAACAAACAAACAAAAAAAAAAAACACTTCTTAGTAAACATGTGATGACTTTTCCTGGTGATGCATTTGATTCAGTGGCCATAGAGCATTGACACCACAAGTGTTCTTCAAGCAAGCATTTATTTTGTTTTTACCCTGGATTGGCTGTGGGTCTGTGTATGTGCATTTGACAGCAAAGGAGTGGTATTTTCCTCATGAAGATCAACTATTCCACTGGTTAACATTCCTTAGGAATTTGGAAAGGAAAAAGTAGTATGAAACATTTTCAATGCATTGCCACAAAGCATTTTTGTTGTTGTTGATGAAAAATATCTGATGTGGTATCAGAGTTTCAGAAATATTGAATACTCAGTTTCCCATATGCTGAAGTGAGTAAAACAGAGTAAATGAAACATAAATTGTAACCACCTCTACAGTGTTGCTTAAAACATGCAGAGGGGTTGAGGGTGTAGCTTAGTGGTAGAGTATTTGCCTATCAGGCATGAGGCCCTGAGTTTGATCGCCAGAACTGCTAATAAATAAATAAATAAATAAAATATGCAGGATCCATAAAATCTGAGTGTTACAGGAGGAGAGCCAGTGTGTACATTAGGCCTATTTGACCAGAAAGTCAGGGGAAAAACTGACACTCTGCTAGCTAGAATTTACATAATGAGGCTTACCCAGCTGTGGATTGCAGTGATTCCTTAAGTGGATGCAGAAGCAAGAGTGATGGATGATGGATGAGAGAAGGTATGGGATGAGGCACACAGATGAGCCCTGAAGAGCAGGTCACTCAAGGCCTTGGACACATTTGCTTGAAGGAGCTAGCATATGGCTGTCCGTAGGCTAATTTTGGAGAAAGTGGAACAGTAGCATAAGGGGAAAGGAGATGGGAGAAGGTGATGGGCAGGACAAAGTTATGCAAGACACTTGTGCAGAAGAGCTGGGGAACTTTTCAGGAGTGGCTGGGGTGAAATATATTGAGAGTAATAAAAATAAATTTATAAACTTCTTTTGAAAATAAAATCCTTAGTTGTATAATCTAATAAAAATGCGAGAAATTTGCTTTGTCATTTGTATCACTTCAAATAATGGTCAATAACTTAGAAAATCAAGAGTTAAATGTTTTCTCTCATGTGGAAGCTAGGGAAGGAAGATCAGGGAGAGGGGATCAGATATCATAAAGATAAAGGGAAAAATCAGTGGAGTAGCGGAAGGAGATCAAGAGGGAGGAAGGAAGGATGGGAAAGGGGAGGAAATATAGAATGGACTTAACAAAATCATGTTATTTGTATACATAAATGTAAACTAGAGGGAATTTCACTTTTATGTATATGTAGAAAGTATCAATCAAAAATAAATTAATAAAGGAGCAAAAGAAAGATCAGTAGAGGAGGGAGAATGGGGGTGGGGGAAGGTGAGGAAAAGGTTAGAGTTGGGGGGAGGGATTGAAATTAAATTTCTTGTGTATCTGATTTTGTCAAAATGAGCCCAACTACTATATATTATTATAATGCTCTAATTAAAAAAAGATAAATAATGGTAAATATACTGGGCGTAGTGGCACATGCCTATAATTCCAGCTTCTGGCTGAGGCAGGAGGATCACATTTTCGAGTACAGCCTCAGAAACTTAGACCCTGTCTCAAAATAAAATAAAAGAGGACTGGGGGTGTAATTCAATGGTAAAGCACCCTTAGGTTAAATCTCTAGTACTGCATGTGCACACACACACAAATGATGATAAATAGAGTTTGTATTTGTTTGGTCTATTAGGATCAAGGATGGTTACTGAGCATTTATTTTCTCTGTCATGGCAAATATTACCAAGTGCTAAAAATAGAGGCATCTGTCTATAAATGATTCCTCAAGTCGGTGCACTAAAATCTGGATGAAATATATATATTATATATATATATATGTGTGTGTGTGTGTGTGTATAGTTTGTGTGTGTGTGTGTATATATATATATATATATATATATATATATATATATATATATAGTTTGTGTGTGTGTGCGCACACACGCTTGAACCCAGGGACTTGTACATGCAAGGTAAGCACTCTACCAACTGAGCTATATCCCCTGTCCTTGAATGGGTATTAATAAAGTGTTGAGGTTTTTTTAAAGACACATTTGAAGTCATATTTTTGAAACCAGTTCTGTCTGTGGGTTCCATAAGTATTATTGAAAAGATGAAACTTAACTATATTTTAAAAAATAATACATTGGCAAAATTCAAACACATATGCATAGCAAACTGATTCTCATACTGCCCTGGCATGAATGCTTGTGCCCCCTGCCCCCAGCCCATTCATATATTGAAGCCCAAATCCCAAATCAAGGGTATTAAGAGTGGGCCTTTGGGAGGTGATTATGTCATGGGGACTCTTCCCTCACAAATGGCCTTAGTACCCTTAGTATCTGGATAGCCAGCTAGCTCCTTCTACTATGTGAGGACTATGTGAGGACTCAACAAGAAGGTAACACTTATTCATCAGAAAAGAAGCCCTCACCAGAAATCCAATCTGCTGGTAACTTAATCTTGAACTTCCCAGCCTCCAGAACTGTAAGCAATAAATTTCTGTTGTTTATAAGCATTTTTGTTGTAACCTTCCAAACCAACTAAGACACACTCCATCCCTATCCATCTAATTCTACACATGCATAGAATACAACCACTTTCATAAGCTACTCTTTATTTGATTTTTCCCCATCAGAAATAACTGGGCCCAGGATACCCATATAATCTGGTCAAGATCAGAGCTACTCCTAGGTGGCCCTACAAATGTATGGGACAAAATGTCCTAATGTCATAGAAAGTCTAAGGCAACCAGAGAAGTACCTGGTTCCTGCCCATTATACCTCCTGCTCCCCTTCTCTCTCTAGACAATTTTATCCCCTCCTTCCTACCATTGATGGCAGCCTAATGACTGTAACAGAGAAGAGCTGTAATTCTTACTGCTCATCTTGAGTTCTATGCATCTTATTTCTTTGCCCCTGGTCCTTGGGAACACAGGTGTGCTCTTGTCTTTGTGAGCCTGGATTCTCCAAGTAAATCCCCCTGCCCCCGCCCAACATAAAGGAGCCTGCTTCTAGCTCCACTCCAAATCAGTGAGAATTAACACTTGATCTGTCTTGTATAATTGGGAAGATAAACAGCAAAAATATATATTTCCAATTCTTAAGATGTCAAAAAGATATCAAAAAATTAGGCATAAATTGCCTCAATCTCCCCATACCACCTTGAAAGTCAATGTTAAGCTCTAACTGACTACAAAATAATAGCATTCTTTCCTTGGCAGAACCACCAGGGCAGGACAGGCTCTCCCATGCTCCTGTAACTTCACACTTGGATGGTGGCAATTGCTGGCTAGCTGGTCTTGCTCCAAAACATTCTGCATATAGCTGTCAGGATAACCTTTCTCAACACCTATAATCACCCACCACCACTGGGTAAAAGAGTAGCATTCAGCTGGATGGTTTCTTATTCCAAAAAAAAAAAAACTTTATTATCCTCTGTATAGTGGTCACCTACACAAATGGTGACTACTGTGGTGATGGTGATCCAAAGGTGGAAACTCCTCACAAAGAAAAAAAAATGGTGTTTTAGTCAGCTTTTTTACTGCCATGACTAAAAGATCTGACCAGAACAAATTGTAGAGGAGGAAAAGTTTATTTGAGGACTCATGGTTTCAGAGGTCTTAGTCCATAGAAGGCTGGTTCCATTCCTTGGGGCTCAAGGTGAGACTGAACATCATGACAGAAGAGAGCAGTGGAGGGAAATAGCTCACATCATGGTGATCAGAAGGCAGAGAGAGACTCCACTAGCCAGATACAAATATATACCCAAACCCATGCCTCAATTCCCACCTCCTCTAGCCACACCCTACCACTTCAGTTACCACTCAGTTAATTCCTATCAGGGGATTAAATCACTGATTTTGTTAAGACTCTTACAACCCACTTATTTCTCCTCTGAATCTTCTTGCATTGTCTCACATTGTTAGAGTCTGTAAACAAGTCAAAAATAACACCTGGCATTTTGCCAGGGGAATGTTAGAGTTCGTAAACAAGTTTGGATGGTGCCTGGCAAAATGCCAGAGGGAGTGGTTTGAGAAGTAACAAAAACAAGCCATTAAGTGTGGAGATTCCTTATTGGTTGACTGATGTATCTAGTTTATGCTAATTAAGATAAGCTGTGCGGAATGTATAAATACCGCTCCTGTCCTGCAATAAACGGCTCCTACTCCTGCTGTATCAACGTACACAAGTTTTTCGTCACCCCCCGGTTATTTTGCTGCAGCCGGACTGCAGCATCACATGTGAGCTTTTGGGGGACACCTCACATCCAAACCATAACACATGGGTTATTTTCTATCTTTTCTTTATTTTTCTTAAGGAAATCATCCATCCTTCATGCCATGTGTTCCAGTTGGGCTGCTGGGAAGGGAATAC